GAAGGAAGAAAGAAGAAAAGAAAAAAGAAGAGGAGAAAGAAGGAAAAAAGAAAGAGGAAGAGGAGAAGGAAGAAAGACGGGGAAAGGAAAAAAGAAGAGAAGGAAGGAAGAAAGAAGAAAAGAAAAAAGAAGAGGAGAAAGAAGGAAAAAAGAAAGAGGAAGAGGAGAAGGAAGAAAGACGGGGAAAGGAAAAAAGAAGAGAAGGAAGGAAGAAAGAAGAAAAGAAAAAAGAAGAGGAGAAAGAAGGAAAAAAGAAAGAGGAAGAGGAGAAGGAAGAAAGACGGGGAAAGGAAAAAAGACGAGGAGGAGAGAGAAGGAAGAAGAGGGGGAAAGGAAGGAGGAAGAGGAGAACAGGAGGAAAAGGAAGAACGAAGATAAAAAAGAGGAGAAGGAGAAGGGAGGAGGAGAAAAGTAAAGAGGAGGAGAAAGAAGGAAGAAGGGGAAAAGAAAGAGGAAGAGGAGGAGAAGAAAAGGAAGAAAGAAGGGAAAAAGGAGGAGAAAGAAGGAGGAGAAGGAAGAAAGATGGGGGAAGGAAAAAAGAGGAGGAGGAGAGAGAAGGAAGAAGAGGGGGAAAGGAAGGAGGAAGAGGAGAACAGGAGGAAAAGGAAGAACGAAGATAAAAAAGAGGAGAAGGAGAAGGAAGGAGGAGAAAAGTAAAGAGGAGAAAGAAGGAAGAAGGGGAAAGGAAGGAGGAGAAAGAAAGATGGGGAAAGGAAGGAGGAAGAGAACAAGAGAAAAAGGAAGAAAGAAGGGAAAAAGGAGGAGAAAGAAGGAGGAGAAGGAAGAAAGATGGGGGAAGGAAAAAAGAGGAGGAGGAGAGAGAAGGAAGAAGAGGGGGAAAGGAAGGAGGAAGAGGAGAACAGGAGGAAAAGGAAGAACGAAGATAAAAAAGAGGAGAAGGAGAAGGAAGGAGGAGAAAAGTAAAGAGGAGAAAGAAGGAAGAAGGGGAAAGGAAGGAGGAGAAAGAAAGATGGGGAAAGGAAGGAGGAAGAGAACAAGAGAAAAAGGAAGAAAGAAGGAGAAGAGAAAAAAGAGGAGAAAGAAGGAAGAGAAGGCTCTCCTACTTCTTCACATAGAAGCCCAAGTTGATCTACACACTGCTCTCGTCTTCTTCCCCATAACAATCTGAAGTAGTAGGTTAAGGCCGAGAGGGACCAGCTCAAAGCCACCCAACGAAGTCTCCTTGGCCAAGATTGGACATGAATCTGGGTTTCCCATTGACCGCCCAACCCTCAGCCGCAACACCAGGTTGGCTCTCCATCTGGTTTCTTACCCTGGAAGCCACCACAAGAGCTCTCTTCCCCGTAGGGCACACCACGAAGAGCCACTCCTGATCCAGATCTGGTGGGACATCAATCAGCCACTCGGAGAGCATCAGCTGCAGAGAGGAGGAAGCAGACGGTTCAACCCTCTCCCTGAGAAACCCACCAAAGACCCAGAACGAGAAGAGGAGCCATCTTGACCCCAATGAAGAAACACAACGTTGAGGGTCAGTTTTGGGAGTGCTTGCCTGTGAATGCCCAAGATCTTCAGTTGTCCCCTGAGGTCTCCAAAAAAGATCTGAAATCCTCCAACCAGATGAACCAATGGCACACATTACAACAGATTCTCATGTTCCATGACATCTGACTGGCCACAGGATTTGGCCAACCCAACTCCTGAGTCAACATCCCTGGGCAAACATCTTGAGTCAACTCAGAAGTTGGATATTGAAGAGACTGCCAGAAGGTGGACCTGTCTCAAACCCCTGGATATTGTTATTTAAAACAATAATAAAAAAGCACCTTTGGGACAACCATGGATGGCTGAGAATCTCTAGAGACTTTTAGCTGTACAACCCCTTGAATGGTGTGGAAGTAGGAATGGAGGAAAAATTGCAGACTACAGGAACCATTTGCACCCCTCAGGTGACCCTGAGGACACAGATCAACCTCCAAGTGGCTTCAAGGACCCTCTAAAAGGATGCAAATGACCAGCTGTCTGCAAGGAACATAAATCCTTCTAAATCCCCACTATCCTATCAGAGCTGAAGAAGCTTCTTGGAGGAGAAGCGAAACGCCTTCAAAGAAAAGAAAGTTAAGTCCAGTTGCCTCTTGAAAAAGCACCTTTGGGACGATTATAATCTGGGTGTGACGGAGAATCTCCACAGACATGGTTTTCTTTGTAACTCTTAAGAGATGTCTTTTCCTCCTCTTGTTTTTCACCTTGCAGAATATAGTGAGTTATTAAGAAGTAAGAAGATGAAATGAACAAGCAAGGGAAAAAATTCAGCCTTGGGCAGCCTCTGTAAAAAT